ATCATCTCTGCCTTAAACATTTCCACAACTCGGATCAACAAAAGACCAGTTGTCTTGGTTACACATGCTACGTTTCAAAAATCGCTCTGCTTCGCTCATGTGCTTCTCCAGCTCGAAATTGTGATTATTCATAATTATGCTAAATGCTAGTCATTATAAATTGGCAGGTACGTATCAGAGGTGGCATGACTGTGACTCACCTTCAAGGGTGCCTGTCAGCAAGACTCTTGTGGTGGAAGGAAGCACCTAAGCTGGAAAAAGTAGAGAATTATTAATCTTGGGGTGTCAGAATGCTTCAGCGGATAGCTGCACACTCATGAATATGTGGGCTATACAAGTTGGGCTTGGTGGGTTATAAAAAAAGTATAAAGGTGGTGAGAAGTTGGGACGGATATGGGTAGTGGGAGGTCTGGGAGAGGCTAAATGAAGGCATTAGGGGTAATTAAAATCAAAATACATTGCATGCAGGTTTGACAGCCTCAAATAATCAATGAAAATATATTTTTAAAACTACAAAACAAACAACAACAAAATAACCCTGGAGAGTCAGAATTTATGACTGATGTTAACTTTTTTTTTTTATTTTGACTATTTAGAGTTAAATAGGCATACTTATTTATTAACTATATAGTAAATATAACTTAATATTTGCATAAATTTCCTTTGTCAAGGGCATACATACTTCATGTGCCCCCGCATTACCTAAAGTTTTCCTTCTTTCACCCAAAGAAGTGTCTCTTTCATGTGTGGGCACATGTGTGGTGAACAATCAATTTTATGCTTTTACTGCTTTGTGGGTGTTAAGGATTGAACCCACATCCTTGAGCATACCAGGTAAGTACTCCACCACCAAGCACTATCTCTAGTCATCATTTAAAATTTTTTGAGAAGGATTTTACTTCAGAGTGTTATAAGGTCGCTTGTTTGTTCCCAGCTGCTCAGCCCCAAAATAATCACACAGAAACCATATTATTTAAATCACTGCTTGGCTCATCAGCTTCTTATTGGTTAACTCTTACATATTAATTTAACCCATTTCTAAGAATCTGTGTATCACCATGTGACTGTGGCTTACTGCGAGACTACAGGGTTTCTCTAAACTCCACCTCTTTCTCCCAGCATTCAGTTAGTTTTCCCCACCTCTATTCCCTGTGCAGGTCCAAGACAGTTTTCTTTATTCACCAATGATATTCACAGCATACAGAGGGGAATCTCACATCATCAGGCTCTATTAGAACTGACTATGGACCCAAGACTAGCCCTGTTAAATAATGATTATGGGTTTTCTCATCAGTAAGATTAAGATAATAATGTTATTTTTAGCATGTTTTTGTGGTGATTAAATATGATTATCTATAAAGTACTTAACATGCGGCCTGAATCTAGCACCTCTGAAAGACTTGATAATGACTGTTATTTACTGCTCCTACTTGCCACTCTTGCAAGTGCTTAATCTCAACCCAGAGATCCACCCACACCACAGTTCTCAGGGCAGCTACTTCTTGTCAGTGCAGAGCGTGTGGCCCAGGACAAGTCTGCATTCTTGCACGATGTCATAGCTCTGAAAGTCAAGTGAACTTACATGGAATTTTCTTGAATGGAAATTCTCCATTATTTTCCAGGTTTTCAACTATGGTAACAGAGTGATATGTAGGGGGGAAAATCAAACCTCTTTTATGAAAATGGATGTGCTTCCCTAAAACCCAACTGCTTCTCCTCAGGAATCCTAAATGACTGAATAACCTGAGTTTGAAATGAACAAGCCTAGGCTTCTACCTGCAGTGGCCTCAGACTCCTTATAGTTGCTAGAGGGAAAATTCTCTGTAGAGTTTGCATGACAGTTTTCTAATATGCAGGTCACTTTTAAGGTCATAGCCATAAGCAATCAGTGGTGATCCAGAGAGGCAGAGACAACCAATGTCAGAGCTGGAGGTGACTGAAACCAGGAACAACAGACTGAAAAGGTGTGGGGTTTGGAAACAGCATAGAGCAGAGGATTTCCTGGAGAAGGCAGTTTAAGAAAGCTATCCTTTCATCAGCCAAGAGATCTGTAGCAAAGGAAAGTCTTTTGGAATTTCATAATCCTAAGCTTTAACCATTGCTCAGTGTTTGTGCACACAGGCTTTAAAAAAAAATCATGATTTGATTTTCTCTAAAAACCTATCTTCAGAAGATAAGAATTTCTCTTGAGTGTATTTGAAGCTCTCAAAACTATTGCCCAAATACCTGCTCTATTACATATTTTTGTGTGTTTGTTTGTTTTTTGACTTTTGCGACAGGGTTTCTCCGTAGCTTTTTTTTTTTTTTT